ATATATATATATACACGGGGCATCACTATAGCAATTTTCATCCCACTGATTCAGACACAATTGTTTTCATCCACTAATGCCAGGGCGTTCTTCACTCCTACTGACACAGGAGTGTTTTACCAGTCCCACTGATGTCGGGGCATTTTTCAATCCCACTGACACAGGGGTGTTTTACCAGTCACACTGATGTCGGGGCATTCTTCACTCCCACTGACACAGGGGTGTTTTACCAGTCACACTGATGTCGGGGCATTCTTCACTCCCACTGACACAGGGGTGTTTTACCAGTCCCACTGATGTCGGGACATTCTTCACTCCCACTGACACAGGGGTGTTTTACCAGTCCTACTGATGTCGGGGCATTCTTCGCTCCCACTGACACAGGTTTTTTGACTCCCACTGACACTAGCATGTTTCCTATTAAAGCCAGGGTATACCCATACTTCCCAACCATCCCAGATTCTGTGGTGCTGTCCCAGGATTTTAACAAACTTCTAGAGTCCTGCAGGTTCAGGCTGTGTCATCAAAGCCTAGTGTCAGACCAAGATTCAGCCACTTTTCACTCCCAATGCTAGGATGTTCCTCTTAAAGTGATATTAAAGGCAAAAAAATGTTTCCCTCCCCCCCATGTAAATGTTAGCACTTACCTTAAATGATGTCTCTTTTTCCGATCTTCCTCTTCTTTCCCCATGTTTTCATCTGTCCCTCCAGCGGTGTGACGTCACTCCGATCCAGCGCTGGCTGCTCTGTCTCTCCGATCCAGCGATGTCTGCAGGCGGGTGCACGCGTCCATAGACTTACCTTGCGTCTCTGCTCGTCTCCCGGCCGAGAATCGGAACTGCGCATGCGCCCGCCCCAAGATCATTTGAGGCCGTACGAGCAGTTCCTGATTCTCGGCGCGGGATCGATCGGCGATAACGAGGTAAGTTTAAAATGATTTTAAGCGGTTTTTTTTTACACTTCTTGCCTATATCTACTGCATGCTAGCAGTAGATATAAGCAAAAAAAAAAACCGGAGGGTTTAGAACCCCTTTAAGTTGTAAAGTTTGGAGGTATGCATATGGGTGTTACCTAGGCTGGTCTGCAAACAAATACAGCTTGCCTAGGAATGCCAACTCTCTAGACTGACATCCTTCCATCAAGGCATTGAGATTTTTGCATAACTCCTCCAAAGAGCAAGCTCACTGCTTGTATCAGGCCTGATGCCTCTTGAAAGAAGTACAGAGGCAGGGTACGGTGAGGTTTTCAGGAAGCTATGTACAGCTCCCTGCGGCCCCCTCCCACCAGCCATGAAGTACAGAGAGCCAGCGGTGATGTCACTGGATCTAAAATAAGGTATGTAATGAAAATAGAAATGATTTTTCTTTAAATTTTATTTGCATACTGATGGGAAGCAGGGGGAAAGAACCAGGGAAGGCAAAATATGCAGTGCTTGATGCATGAGTGCTCATCCATCATTTTTGAGGTACTGACACATAGGGGGCAAAAGCCATGTCCAGTAGTGTACAAAAAGCAGCTTTCAGGAAAAGTCCATCTTTGCTCTGGATCTTTGTGGGACAGAAGTGTGGAACGGGGCAGTGGGTAGTGAGTTAAGGTACCATAGGGTGCCTATTATTAACATAAACCACAATGTGTTTTTGTTTGATGAATCCCACTTCCTCCAGGTACAGGGGTGGCGATGGGCACATGCTGTGCCCCTTCCTACGCCAACCTGTACCTGGGGGGGTAGAATGCTTGGAGGCTTGGCTCATCTATTCTTTGTGTCTCAGTAATCAGGTACTTATTTGCTGTGTAATATAAGGATGAGGGGTCACTGTTCTATATATACCCCTCTTTACTAATGTTGAATTGTTAAAAAAACGGTATATTTATTGATGTTTGTAATCTACAGAGTACCGCCAATTCTTCTTCAGGAAGCATACAGTGAAACGCATCGAGGATCTGGGTGACCTCCCAATTGGAGGAATCACTACATTTGAGAGTTTAGACTCCAGGATGATTTAGGGTGATGATATGACTTTTTCCTCCATTTTGGGGGAGCCGAGAGGTGGTAGCTGATCTATGTTAGAGGTTAATTGTTATGGATCACAAGCAATTGAAACAGACATTTTTGTAAAATCTTTTAATGTTTTTTAACTTTGTAATCAAATTATTTAAACTTGTCAAATGTGTGATTTGGTGCCTTAAACCCCTTTTTTCTATTTTTGTACATACTTATGACTTTGGTGTGTGGCACCATTAGACAGGTGCACTGTAATAATACTATTAACATAATGTTTTTTTGGTTGGAGAGGGGTTTGCTTTAAATCCAGCCTGCACACAATCTTTTATTCAGGCCAGCAGACTTCCACTGCGGTCTCATGATCTTCAGAAAATCTAGAAATAGAAACACAAAATCAGGATATTATGTATTAAATAAATAGCCCTCTCCATGTTAATTATTTATGCTAAAATAATCCTAAAAAGACAATTTGGTGACAATAAAATCAATTTAAAAATAATGCTGACATAGTTTCACAACCTAAACTGATTTATTATTAGCCCTTAGCGTTAAACAGAGTGGATACTAAAAAAAGATTTTATAGTCTGGAGTTATTTGTACACATATGGAACAGATATCGGAAATTATGCGGATAAAACTATGTTGATTTTTCGACTCAAGGTGCTTTCTTTTTTTAGATCAAAACATTTGAAAGCACACACAATACAACACAGGAAAAGCATTTTTGTTTGGGCAGCCCCATGGGGTTCCATTGTTTTATGTCTCATCTGTTTTCAGTACACGTCATGAGACGCAGAGAGCAACAGTGGAGGTTTATTATTCAACATCCTATGTTTTTGTTTTCTTTTTATGTGTGTCACAAATATTAACAAGCGTTTTTCTATCGTATAGATTAAAAGAAAACTGTAATGCTGCAATCAGACCACAAGAGGTCCTTAAAGGCAAGTAATTACATAGAAATGCATTTTTTTCAAGTAACAGACATATAAATTAGTGATATTCAGCAGTTATCAAACTGATGCTATTTACTTGGTACACATATTGTATCGAGGGATCCGGCAAAAAAGTTTCGCTTATTTCTGTATTTGTTGCAAATTGTTTTGTAAAAAAAATTTAAAAAATATGCTATATGGGTACTTTATTATGGGTGTGAAGATATTCTCTCTAATCTGCTGACTTTGACAATCATCAGTGGCTATAGATGAAATACAAAACAGCTGAAGCAAGCACAGCCTCTAAGCTGATTATACACTGTTATATTTTCATGCAAACATTCATACGAAAAATTAGTGCTGTTGGGGTAGAACTAAGGTTCAGCACCACACCACTGAAATACTATAGATATATTGATTGGGGTATATACATATACATCTCCAAGCAACTTGATGTTCCTGTGACACAGTTGTCAAAATATTAAGAACTTCAAGGTCCATGGGAGTGTAGCCAACCTCACTGGACATGGCTGCAAGAGGAAAATTGACCCCAAATTGAACAGAAGGGCTGTGTAAATGCTAGGCACAGAGCCAGGGAAAACTTCCAAAGGTCAAGGTACATTAGTGTTTGATCGCACCATCTGTCACATTTTGAGCAACGGTGGGCACAGAGGAATTGTATCCAGTAGAAAAAAACATAATATATCAAAAATGAAAATTCCAGACTGGAATCTCCTAAAATGCATACTGTCAAGTCACAATGCTTCTGAGAAAATGTCCTTTGCACAGATGAGACAAAACTGTAGCTTTTGGGCAGGTCACAGATGAAAAACAAAGCTTTAAAAAAAAAGATAACTGTACCTACCCGTACCTACTGTAATAACATAGAAGAGGTGTAGTTACATTTTGAGGCTGCTTTGCTGCATCTGGCTAGGGTATGTCTTAAATCTGTGCACAATGAAATCTCAAGAAATGTAAGGAACTCTGGAGCAAAGTGTACTGCCCCAACAGGATAAATACAGAAAAACGCATTCACTATTGTCTAAGAACAAAACACTTGACTATTCTGAATTGGTCTTCTATGAGCCCTGATCTGAAGTCTATGAAACATGCAGTATGGAGCAGGCACCTTCAAATCTGAGACAGCTAAAGCAGATTTCTCCAGAACAGTGAGGCAAACTACCTGTTGGCAGGTGCAGAAGTACCATTGAGAGCTACAGAAATCACTTCTTTGCAATGATTGCCTATAAATGTTGTGCAACAAAATATCAGGTTAGGGGTTCCATAATTTTTTCCATGCCATTTTAATTTGTTTTTTATTTGAAGTGCAACTGAAGCCAAAACTTTTATTTTACAGTAGTTTTGAATAGAGTGGAGAGGGATTAGAACTCCTGCCAGGTTTTTATTGCTGTCTGTGCCCCACTGCGTCTACTGATTGCGGTTGCAATGCTTTACTGGCTCCTATGCAAAAAACTAAATTTTTTCCTCAAGTAGTGTGCAATTATTATTTTTCTTTAGAAAAAGAGGAAATTTTCCTTTAAATAAACACTGATAGAATGTTTCAAGCTGTGGCTTTCAAAGGAACTATGGCCTTTTCAGAGGAACAAATGAGGACATATAGGCTGATACGTTCAAAGGTTGCTAAATGCTTCCGGTGGACTCAGTGCTATGACTGCTTCTTCAACAGAAAAATAACCCTTCTTGGCATCTTATACAAACTAAAATATCAAAGGCCAACATATGATATTGACCCCAAGATGGACAATATTGTAGAACATATTAGCAGGTTTATTTGAGTCAGAATGTAACACAGGTAAATAAGGGAGAGGAATAATGGATTACCCAAGACTTCTAATGAACAAGATTATTTACAAATTTCTGTATAACTTAAAGAGGATACAGTTACATTATACTTCCTCTCCTTACATTTCCATGCATACACAAAAAGCCACCACCCTTACAACACCAAGATCTGGTGAAATTCCCTAACGAACATTGCCCAGTTTCCTTTAAAAGCTGATCATTATTCCTGTTTCTGCTGAGTCTTACATTTACTATCAAACCATGAAATATTGGGTGCTGCTGGCCTCAACATTATGCCTTCTGCCCCTCTCAGGTAATATTTCTATTTCTTATATAAACTGACATTTCTAATGGATTTTGAGAATGCACTGGATATGTAGCTGTATTTCATGGTTTAAGCACAATATGAACCTTCTCTACAAACCTGATTTCTGGACTTACCTTACTCCTTTTCAACTGCTTTCTGTGCTTCTCTAAATATATAGAATATTCTGATCATATAGATCAACCATATCTAGAATAATAGGCTTTCTAACAGGGTTATTCACAAAAAGGGTGAAGAGTTTGGAGAAGACAGGAGAAGTGAACAATCTAGGACAACATAGCTGAACTGGAAAGTGAGCTGAATTGGAGGATGTTTCCATATCAGCTATGTTGTCCTAGATTGTTCACTTCTCCTGTCTTCTCCAAACTCTCCACCCTTTTGTGAATAGCCCTGTAAGTGTATCTGAAGAAGGAAAATTTAATTGTTTTACATAATGTCTACCAACACTTGGCATCTATAACAAAAATGCTCAGAATTACCTACAGGCTACATGGATTTGTATACTCTGATATTGCAAGAAACTCTCATGAGAACTATTGAAGGCAGAGTGCAGAAAGTGACAAAGGGGGGCATCTATCATTTTGTCACACATAGGCAATGCAAAACAGGAGCAGTGAGACAGATTATGAGAAAGAGGTATTATAATATTGCAGCTTCATTTTATAACTTCATACTCTAAGACCCCTTTCACACAGACGGCGTCCGTGCTGATCAGCCAGGGATCTGTGAACAGGTCTCCTGCTGATCAGAGCAGCATGAAACGGATGTCACTACTGTGTCATCCTTGTCTGTCCAGTTTTTTCCTCCATTGCAACCCATGTTAGATTTATGGGGATTGAGATGTAAGTAGACATGTGTCCATTTAGATCCGATTATCTTCAATCCATTACATTCAGGGCCACCAGAACAGAACTCTGGTCCATTTTTTTTTTTTCTCAGACAGACTGGGATGTAAACGGATACAGATCCATTTATAGCCGGCTCCCCATAGACTAACATTGAGTTTCCAATTAGATCCGCCTGAAAAACGAACAGGTTGGCCATTTGAAAGGGCATTGTTCTAAAGTAGAACTGCAATGGAATCATACCGTATCTTCTCCTGATTACTACTTAGAGAAGAACTCCGGGTAAAAGTGTTATTAACCCTTGCAGTGGGGCTACCACTGCACTGCAAGTGTTAAGTGCTTGTTTTTGCCTAGGGTCAAAAATAACAAAGCAATATTAACTTGATCCTCTGAGCCAGCCAGGTGTGCTGCAGCAATGGTATGTCCATTGGCATCCTCACATCCTATACACTCATCAGGTCCAATACCGTGTATTGGACCTGATGAGCCAGGGACCTTAGACCGCTGCAGGGAGGGGGAGAGAGGCTCCAGGGACCACCCTAAGAGCCAGTCGGCTCGGAGGATCAGTTCAGTTTTTTTACACTAGGCAAAAAACAAGCACTTAACCCTTGCAGTGCAGGGGTAGACCCACTGCAAGGGTTAATCAAATTTGTACTCAGAGTACTACGCAATTGTGGGTGCATTTGAAATGAATATCCCGTCTACCGTGCTAAAGCTGTTGTAGACCTGTGCAGTTGGCTGCCCAGGGGTCACAAATACACATAAAAACTGCTGCCTATACTTTGTGAATTGGGAAGTAGCTAATTTTGTTTTTAATTTGCTTTATACATGTTCTTCAAATAATTTTACTAGAAGCAACTGCAATGCTAAGACAGTAGTATATAAATATTGTTTATACATAATGTCAGCACAAATGGCTGTTTTAATGGTGCATACATGAAATACAATGGACAGCATTATCAGTCATACAGTACATTAACCATATCAATCTGCAAATAAAAAGTAATAACCTGTTTATAAAGTGAGTATGGCTGATACTTTCTTCAGAAAAGGAAAACCAACAATCCAGTTGTTTTAGAGAACAAAAAATACCAAACGTTTTCAGCAGAGGACAACAGAAAATAAATGTGGTTTCCTAAGTCTTTGTGTTGAAATGTGTCCCTGGTAGTTTCAATCACAATTTACACACAACAGCAATCCCTGCTGCATTCAGGGAACCTTGCTTGACATCGAAGATGCCACTCAGATAATAAATGATAAACCACACTTCCTTTAGTTCTGATTAACATCAATCTATTCACCTGTATATTAGATCGGTAATGAAACTGAGCAATAACAGGATTTCAGCATATTTTAATTATGTTATGTGGACCCCAAGGGAGAATGCAAATTGTAAATGTTATATTGTTCAATGTGTTTAAACGTATTATTATTATTATTATCTTAAAAGCAGAAGCATATAGGATTGTGGGGGGCCGAGAGGCCAAAGCCCATTCCAGACCGTACATGGTGTCTCTGCAGATCAAGGGCCAGAGCTTCTGTGGAGGAGCCCTCATCAATCCAAAATGGGTTCTCACTGCAGCACACTGCATGGAAGACACGTGAGTGAACTGTACTTTTTTATAATGTTGGCAGTGATTGGCTAGTGCTGATTTACCAAAGGAGTAGAGACTATTCACTTATCAAAGGGATTGTTCACTTGATGAATAAAGTGAAGCTGTGTTAATTTTAATCATCCAATCAGGTGCTAGCAAAAATTCAGTTTTATTTTCCCTCGACCATGATTGGGTGAACAAAATAAACACAGCTTCACATTATTCCCCAAACTATGGGGTCTATTCGCTAAGCTGCCGTAGGCAGCCGAGTGAAAGACCGACCTGAAGTGAAGTGAGCTGAACAGTGTTCGGCTATTCACTTCAGGCTGGTACGGCTGATTTCAGCCGCACATCGGCTGAAATCAGCCGTACATCGGGTGGCTTCATGTGGCTCCGGGTCGGCTGAACATGCTCAGCATGTTCGGCCGACCCGAAGTGCAGGAGGAGTTTGACCCAGCCGAACCAACATCAGGATCGGCTAAGCTGAACCTCCGGCAGGCTACTCGCTGCTGTTCGGTCTATTCTGGGAGTCTCCTGCTCCCGGCCACCCAGGGGAGAAACACTGATTTTTCTTTTTTCTTCTTTATTCTGACACGGAGCCGTGTCACAATAGAAAAAATAAATAAATAATTTTGCCCATAGGAATGCATTGCTAGATTCCTATTGGCTATTTCAATTTGCAATAGGCCAATAGTAAACTAGCATTGTACCCGCCCTCTGCTGATGGACCTGATGGAGAACTGCAGCAGAGGGCGGATACAATGCTAATTTAGTATTGCAAATTATTTATGATTTATTGCAAATTGAAATAGCCAATAGGCTGAAAGCCTAAGCCACTCGGCCGGCTTAGGCTTTCAGCGCAGCTCAGCCGAGCCGAGGCATATGCCTTAGGCTCGACTGAGCCGCTCGGCTAAGCTCGGGAGCTGTACAGGCTATTATGAATAGCCCGTACAGCAGCCCTTCGGTTCTACTGAACAGAAGGGGTCCTGGGGCCGAAGCTAGCCGAAGGATCGCCCAAAGCTATGGCTAGATCCTTCGGCTGCTTCATGAATAGACCCCTTAGTGAATAGTAATATTTAGGGATGCACCAATATTGTTTTTTCGGTATCGAGTGTGAGTACCGATATTTATCTTTCGGGACGTGCCGATAACGAATACCAGAACTTCTGGGAGCATAGTGCCAGCTTTCCGGCCAATCAGGAAGCCAGGCAGCGGAATAACCCGCCACCCAGCTTCCTGATTGATCGGGAAACCGACACCATGCTGTTTGGCCGGCTCAATGCTGATTGGCTGGGAAGCTGGCTCCATGCTGTTTTGCCGACTAAATGCTGATTGGCTGGGAAGCCGGGTTTCCTGGCCAATCAGCATGGAGCTGGCCAAACAGCATGGAGTCAGCTTCCTAGTCAAGAGAGATAACACACTTTTTTGTTTTTTGTTATAGTCCTGTGGACATTGTACGGGTTGTTCTCGGAGCTCATAACCTGAACCAACCAGATAACTTTGTTCAGGTATCATCTGTCCAAGAATCATTCCAGCACCCAGGTTATAACCCAAGAACCTTTCAGAATGACCTTCACCTCCTAAAGGTAAGCTTACAAATACTCCTTCCACCCATACAACCATTCAACATTTGATGGTTAATTTTCAAAATTGCCACAAGACCCAGTAAATGACGCTTCATCTAAAAACAGATTTAATCATTTCTATGCAAGGCTTGGACCAATCAATGAGTTGCTATTCTGAAATAGAAAAATATGCAAACACAATTGATTTATTTCTGGTTGGAAGAGCTTTGTCCCATAGGCATGATACATCAAATGATGTAAAAGCTCTAGTTTATCTTTATTGGCCTTATAGCAAAGCAATTGACCTGGAAACAGAGGCCCTGTCCTGGTTTTTTTGCACAGCTCTCTAGAAAAGTTTCTGTATGGTGAAAGTACCGTAGGCTCAGTTTTATATGCCATGAGCTAATGCTTGCAGTTGTAAAAATTAGGTATTAATTTTGAGATTTGATTGTTGGATTATAGTACATACCGTGTTTCCCCGAAAGTAAGACCTACCCCGCAAATAAGACCTAGTGCTATCTTCGGGGATTTCTGTAATATAAGACCTACCCCGAACTAGGTCTTATTTTCGGGGTAGGTCTTATATTACAGAAATCCCCGACGATAGCGCTAGGTCTTATTTTCGGGGTAGGTCTTATATTACAGAAATCCCCGACGATAGCGCTAGGTCTTATTTTCGGGGTAGGTCTTATATTACAGAAATCCCCGACGATAGCGCTAGGTCTTATTTTCGGGGTAGGTCTTATATTACAGAAATCCCCGACGATAGCGCTAGGTCTTATTTTCGGGGTAGGTCTTATATTACAGAAATCCCCGACGATAGCGCTAGGTCTTATTTTCGGGGTAGGTCTTATATTACAGAAATCCCCGACGATAGCGCTAGGTCTTATTTTCGGGGTAGGTCTTATATTACAGAAATCCCCGACGATAGCGCTAGGTCTTATTTTCGGGGTAGGTCTTATATTACAGAAATCCCCGACGATAGCGCTAGGTCTTATTTTCGGGGTAGGTCTTATATTACAGAAATCCCCGACGATAGCGCTAGGTCTTATTTTCGGGGTAGGTCTTATATTACAGAAATCCCCGACGATAGCGCTAGGTCTTATTTTCGGGGTAGGTCTTATATTACAGAAATCCCCGACGATAGCGCTAGGTCTTATTTTCGGGGTAGGTCTTATATTACAGAAATCCCCGACGATAGCGCTAGGTCTTATTTTCGGGGTAGGTCTTACTTTCGGGGAAACACGGTAGCAACCAACACTACTAGCTATCCATTAATAGGACCCTGAGCAGAAGGGAAATACCAGCAATATCATGACCAAGTAACAGTAGATACAGGACCATAATGCAATAGCAGAACAAATGGAACTGCCTCTGAACTCCTTACTGCTATAACACTATAGTTGAATGATGCTAGGTTAATTGTGCCTAAGGAGTAACATCAGAAATATACCTTGGCAATGAACTCCTCCTGAAAATAGCAGTGTAGCAACATGTGACTTTGCCTAGGCACCCTTGTAGTTTAATGAAGGGTAAGAGCCTCTAAGACACTGCTATATTATGAGATTTGGAATGAGATTTGGTGATGTCACTGTTGCTTACTGTGTTGCTTACTGTGCTCTTCACTGGAGAGGAAGCTGTATCTGAGAGCGTGCAGTACAAGGATCCCCCTGCTTCTGCTTCATTCATACTGTAAATCAGTCACATAGCTGGATAGGGAGCCCTACTCTTTTCAGTCTATAGAGTTTTATTCAGAGAAAGAAAGTCTGAAAGGAAACAGCTTTTCTTTATTGTTTATTAGGGGACATAATTGGGTTATACAGTTGCCTACAGGTGCATTTGGACAGTGGCAAACAGAAAAGCCATTGGCCAGCCAGGTAAAACCGCTCACACTTCCAGCACAGTTCAGTTTTTCGCTAGTGTCCTAGAAGGATGTACATTGTTGTTGAGAAAAGTTTACCCTTTGTTTTTACTAGGCGTTTTAGTTACTTTTTTTTTTTTAAAGGTATTTTTTTTCTCCAATCAAGACCCTATCTTCATTCTGCTAAGCTGGGCTCCCTATGTAGCTATAGAGATTGTCTAGTCCTCACCAATGCCTTAGAGGCCATACCCAGATTCTGGACTGGAGATTGCTGAACCTGCCCGATATGTAAACTTTGAGCACTGGGCTCAGCCTGTCGTGTTTCTTAGAGCTTCGGGTACAGTGTTACTCAGCTGCAGGTCCAGAATTGTGGCACAACCTCTGGTGTGACTCAGTCTCTGAAGACTCTTATCTCATCGCCAGCTACTATGCTATATGGTAAAGTTGAATGCCACCATTATTCTCCTGTTTTGCACAAAGGATTAACTCTCTGAGGAATGATATGATGTGTCCTTAGCTTGAGTGCCACGCAAGCGCACACTCCTCTAATTTCTGCCTTTTTTCTTCAGAGTGTGGTAGCTTCTTCCCACCATTGCATCTACAAGAGACACGCAGTTCACACCTTGGTTGGTCGTTGCTACAGTGACCTCGTCACCTCCGGCTATAAACCTCTGCTTAAGCATCTGGTTATGTATAAACCCAGGTTTTCATCTGGGGTTCACTAATAGGTTATTCCTGTTAAGAAGTACAACATGTTGGATCCCAAGCACAAGGGGAGCAATCCCACTGCACTGGGCTCCTAATCAACTAACAGTTCCACTTGCAGTGTTCCTCCTTAAGGACTTGACACCAATAGAATGGATTATTGTCCCCTGCTTGTATCAACACACTCCTCTGTCAGGTGTGACCCCCAACTCGATCTTATTCAGAGAGGAGTTTTCTGCGGCCTTGTTAGATTTATTAATACAAATTGTAACTATAATTGATTACTCATAATGCAAAGTCTGTAAGCATAGTTCAATGTCTTCTTCACTAGAGTTACTTTTAAACATTCTTGCAGCTGTAGCAGTTTTTGAGATTTCTGCTGCAGATGTACTGTTTGACTTAGGAACGTATACAGCCTTACAGGATGAATTTGTTCCTGAAATGCCTCAGTTAGCTAAATTAGGTCCCAGGCTTAAAATACCATGATGGCTCTTCTATATATTGGCTGTGCGAACCACATTAAAAATGGATCAGTTGGTGCTTCTACTAGTGTTGTTACCAGTCTGGGATCCCATTTCAGGATTTTCTTTAAAAGTGGGTTGTTCCCTCTGTGGATCCAACCTTATCCAACCTTAATGAAAAACACTGACTCCACCTATTGAGGATGTGCCAATGTATAATCATCCCACCAATAAGCTATAAAGCCCTATTCAAATCCGTGTTTTTACTAGCAGGCCCTGCTATGCAACCTGCCAGAGATGCAATGTCAGTCAGTCAGACTAAGGGGAATGTACTCAGCTTATGTCCTTACTGACCCTTTAGCTATAGAGCACTAATAGCTTTTGCCTTCAGCCCTACATAACTGAGTTGACGGCTTAATTGATATTATCCATTTTATATCCTGAATGAGTCTCCTATCTGTGAACATAAAGAGATTTCTTTGGCTAAAATGTTTGGTCTGCAGAACTGAAATGAAATGAAGTGCTGTGCACACCTTTCTTGGTGCCTCACTGGACAATTTCATAAAATATATCACTGATCTTAAAAGTATTCGGGTATACCAGCAGAAGAAGCCTAAGCAACAAACTGGCAAATCTTTTCCTTCCACTGAGGCCAGGCTTCTCACTTTAATGCCAAACTTAAGGTAAGGGCCCAGTACAAACACAAACCCTGGGCCCCAAAATATTAAAAGCCTCCAAAGGTGGACCATGTCTGTTGGACTTTGTGGACACCCTGTCAGTAAGCATCTCAGATGAGTAAGAGACGTAGTGTGTGTGCAATACAAGCTAGAATTTTACTCTCTGCCTTCACTTACGTCAGCCTTTTCACTGTTCCAAAACCAAAATGGGGCATCAGCTCCATCTTGGATCTGAAGGTTTTAAATGTGTTCCTTCCAGCCCAAATATTCTGCACAGAATCCAGTCCCTCAGCTAAGGATACTTTCTAGCCTCCGTGGACATCAAGGATGAGTACCGTATTTTTCCGTCTATAAGACACCCCCATGTATAGGACGCCCCCCACTTTTCAGAAATCAATATTTTCCAAGCTCTTTTGCATAACTGATTACATCCAGTTTAAATTTTGCAGAGTAAGACAGCTGCTTACTGGTACCGGTATTTTTTTGTTTTCTGACATTTTTATGGGCTCCCTGTTGCATCTGGGCACTGGCGACACGCTCTCCGCAGCATCAGCTGACGTCGTTAGCTTGTCTCTGCAAACGGAAGTTTCTCGTGAGGCTAGTTTGCAGAGGTATCGGCAGTTTCGCAACCGCGGCTCTCCTCTCGGCCCCCCGTGTATAAGACGCCCCTCCATTTTTAGGTAAATATTTTTAAGAAAAAGTATAGTCTTATACACAGAAAAATACAGTGCTTGCATGTCCCCATCTTTTCAGCACATCAATGCTATCTCTATTTTGCTGTGGGTAATTAACACTATCAGTAGTAAGAAAGGGCAAAAGACTAGGTAACAGCGTTCCCCATAAGCTTCCTGTAGCTGGCCTAATTCCAGCACTAATTCACCACGCCTTTTTCTGCACTGAGCTTCAAATAACAGATGTAACAGTAAGTAAAAAAAATCCCTTTTAATGTGGTCTCTCTCTAAAAGACCCAAAGTTATCTGTGACACCAGTGTCATGGGTATAGCCTATATTATATATTTTACTTGAGAAAAAATGTTTATATGAATTTTTTATATGTACCGTACTTTTTTTTGGAGCTTTCTTCGGTCCGTTGAAGTGACATCCCAGGTCCTCTTCAGTGGCAGTGGGTGGTCCTCAATAATGCAGAAGACAGTGTCATGGGCGTTGTTCTCTGTAGCATTTTCCCGTAAGCCTATGCCGCTTGATGATGACATACCCCCAGGGGGTGTGTCCTTAGCGTCCTGAATCCACACTGAAGTGGATTCAGCCCTGGAAAGAAGTAGCACTCTGGACCTGAGGAGGACACAGAATGCAGCGCTAAAGAAGGGAGATGGTGAGAACTACTTTTGGCACTTTCTTTTTTTCTATGGGAAGGTAGGAGTTACATTTTTTGATTAAAAAAATGCATTTTAGTACAGTTGAGCTTTGAACCTATATAGGGTTACTGCTATTAGATATACCTACTATGATATAGTAGTATATAACTACTACTATATGTTCTATTAGATATGTTTATAGATGTTTTCTATATATTTATTGAATTCGCCATTTCTTTTCAGCTGAACAAATCAGCCAGCATTACTCCCTATGTAAAATGCACAAATCTTCCTCACGCTGACACAGATGTACTTCCTGGGACTGCATGCTCTGTTGCTGGCTGGGGACAAGTGTCAGATTTCGGGACTTTACCTACAGCTCTGATGGAAACAGATGTAAATGTGATCACACGTGCAGCCTGTAATGAGTCTTGGAAACAAAGCATCGTCAACAGCATGATCTGTACTGCAAGCCCTGGGCTGCGCATCAAGGGTTTCTGCTCTGTAAGTAAGAAGCTGATCTTTACTGACACACACATCAATACTGATCATTAGCTAATTCATGTCTGTATATGGTTCTTGTCTATAGGGCGACTCTGGAGGACCTCTTGTTTGTGAGAACCGCATTGAAGGAGTGGTGTCTTTCTCCGGATTCCGCTGTGGCAATCCTCTTACTCCTGATGTTTACAGTCGTGTTTCATCCTTCCTGTCCTGGATTAAAACAGTGATAAAAAGATCCTGAGAGAAAACACATTGGGGGGAATTTATCAAAACTGGAGCAGACACTATCTGGAGCAGATTTGCACTGCAACCAATCAGCTTCTCTGTCTCATTTTCAAATCTTACCTGAGCAAACTAAAGAGAGATGCTGATTGGTTGCCATGGGCAACTGCCCCAGATTTTGTCTGCTCTAGTTTTGATAAATTCCCCTCACTCAGTTTTTTTTACTTAGGCAGATCTTTCATGTGAATATCTGATGCTTTCATTTAGAACAGTTTTCTTTGAGCAGCTGACAGCCTGCTTTTACAAACAGTATTAATTAACTAGTATGTTGGCTTTAGTCACTTGGGTGAAGACAAATTAGGCAACTGCCATTCTGATGTCAGTGAATGTGCTGGTTATATTAAATAGCAAGACAATTGTATAAGAGAAATGTTGACTTTGTTGTTTGCTTTGTAATATACAATGGGAATAAAGTAGTAGGGTCTCATTACTATCAAAAGGTTCTTTTTTTTTCTTTGTCAATTGATGAAAATGATCAAAGGCCCTTGGCTTTGGAGGCGTGTGCTGATAGACATATGTTTCCATTTCTGACCTTCTAAAAATGACAGTTGCCATACTGGCTATCATGACCGGCTGTCATACTGATCCTTTCATTTAAATAATTTCTTATTCACTGACATGAAATCAGTAAAGTCAGAACTGCAATTTGGTACATGTGATCTAGGCCTATGACTCAGTGGAAGCCTACATATTTCTCACAGCACTGGATGGATTTACATCTATGGGGTTCATTTTTAAAAGTTAACCTGGCAGATGCCATTTGCTTAGGAATATAGGAATTTCCTATACTTGTCAGCGCCATCTAGAGGCGCTAGTGGCATGCGAACTACATCCCATCTTAAGGAGGCTGGGCTTCCTCCTGACAAACCTGCACCCAATTTGAAATCTTCTGCCCCCATGTGCTCCAAGATGGAGACTCTCATGGTTTAGAGTTAGGACCGCACTATAAGAGGTGCCTTGGCGCGGCTGTGCGGCTTTCACATTTTCTGCAGAAGACGTGTATCCAAACCTCTGTTATTAACCTTAGTGGTGAGACAAGTTGTTTTACATGCTAGTTTGTGAGTGTGCCATGATACCTTTCTACTGTTCTACATCCCATCTGGCGCACTTTTATATATGAAACCCTAAGTGTTGCAGTAAAAAGGCACATTATGATAACACACGTTAACAGATGGCACTTGTGTACAGTGGCTGGTAACACCCCTGTCTTGCAGAGCACCTCAACACACATTTTAGTGTGTCAGTGTTGAGTATTGCGAGCAGGCCCGTCTTTAATACTGATTAGACCCTGGGCAAACATTTTCTTGCCCCCTCCCCAGGAATTTCTCTCACCTCCCCAACACCTAGAAAAAAAAACAGCACACATAGATCATAGACTTCTCTCAAAAAAACTTTGACTGCAGGATTTCAAACCGATTGCAAGTTCAGCCGTTTATATTAGGGATGCACCGATATATCGGCCGCCGAAACATATCGGCCGTAAATGCCACTTTTGGCATAATGCTGAAAGTGCAATTTTCTGGCCAATACAGCAGTGCATCCGTTCTTTCTCTCCTCCCCGCTGGGTGCTGCTCTGTGTCCCAGCAGGGAGGAGAGAAACTGTGACAGGAGGAGAGCGCTGTGAGCGGCTGTGGAGGGTCTCACCAGGGCTCTATGGGGTCTCAGCAGCCTGGTTAGACCCCTCAGAGCCCTGGTCAGACCCCCAAGAGCCCTCGTTAAACTAGGGCTCTGTGTGGTCTGACCAGGGCTTTGAGGGGTCTAACCAGGCTGGTGAGACCCTACAGAGCCCTGGTTTATTCAGGGCTCTGTGGGGTCTCACCAGGACTCTTTGGGGGTCTCACCAGTCCCGGTTAAACTTCACAGAGCCCTGGTAAGACCATACAAAGCCCTGGTATAACCAGGGCTCTGTGGGGTTTTACCAGGCTCTGTGGAGTCTAACCAGTCCCCACAGAACCCTGGTGAGACCCCACAGAGCCCTGAATAACCCAGGGCTCTGTAGGGTCTAACCAGCTTGGTTAGACCCCACAGAGCCCTGGTTATACCAGGGCTTTGTATGGTCTTACCAGGGCTCTGTGAAGTTTAACCGGGACTGGTGAGACCCCCAAAGAGTCCTGGTGAGACCCCACAGAGCCCTGGTTAAACCAGGGCTCTATAGGGTCTCACCAGGGCTTTGTAGGGTCCCAACAGGGCTTTGTGGGGTTTAACTAGGGCTGGTGAGACCATACAGAGCCCTGGTTAGACCCCACAGAGGCCCGGTTAAACCAGGGCTCTGTATGGTCTCACCAGCACCAGGGTTCTGTAGGGCCTCACCAGCCGAGTGAATGACCGATCTGAAGTGAAGTGAGCCGAACACTGTTCAGCTATTCACTTCAGCCGTACATCGGCTGAAATGAGCCGTACATCGGCTGAAATCAGCCGTACATCGGCTTGCTTCGAGTGGCTTCGGGTCGGCCGAACATGCTCAGCATGTTCGGCCGACCTGAAGTGCAGAAGCGGCGGACCCTGCAAGGACAAGTCACGGCACCGGTGTCCGTGTACGGACACCTTGCCGATCCCTGCGCTACGCGGGCTACACCTTTAGGGTGCTACACCTTTAGGGTGCAGATCGCATAGGACAACAATACGTTATGGCAGTGCCGTGTGCGGCTGCCATAACGTATTATACTATGCGATCCGAATCCAATCGGCAAGTTTCTGCAGGCAGCGGGCTCAAGGGGCAGCTGCTTTGGGCCCCACAACCATGACTGGGCCCAGGGCAAGTGCCCTCTTTGCCCCGCTTTAAAGACGGCCCTGATTGCAAAGGCAGGGAAAGGAATTAACAATCAAAAATATATTTAGTAATTCCGTTATGCATAAACATGTTTCTTCAGTATTCATTATACTTCATCAGAAATGTCCAAGTTGTTTGTTGTCATGGGGAATTTTGACACATATGGCAGATGTATGAAAGCACCGGGGTGTTAATACTTGAACATTTAGGGGGTTATTCACTAAAGAGCCGAAGGATTTAGCCGAACGTTTGGCTAATCCTTTCAGCTCGCTTCGGCTGCAGGAACCCTTCGGTTCAGCCAAACTAAAGGGATGCTGTACGGGCTATTCACAATAGCCCATAGAGCAGACGAAAGCAGCCGAAGCACAAAGCCGAAGGGGTGAGAAAGGTCCACAGAAGCAGACAAAATACCCACTGGTTGTTAAAACATAGATTGAAAAAAAAAACTGACATGGGGTCCCCCTCCCAATTCATACAGACCCTTTAGGTCGGCTATTTACTCTCTGCTGTTCGGCCCCCTTGAGAATAGGTGTGAAAAGCAGAGAATGAAGTGCCTAACGTTCACCTCAGCCGATGCAGTATCTGGATTCTACCCTTCTGTTCAGCAGTACGTGCTGAGGTTGTTCAGCTGAACCGAAGTGAAGTGAAGTTGGCCGAATGCAGCCGATGTACAGCTAAAAATAGCCATACAGGGCTGTTGTGAATAGCTGAAGAGGTTATTCACATTTGTGCTTTATCCAGTAGATAGATACCAATCTATTTAAATATTGAAATCTGGTCTTAAAAATGGCTTGAGTAAACACCTAGGTAAGGAAAACACAATCCTCTGTCTATAGAGGCCCTGAGGGCCAAAAAATAAGTGCCAGAGGGAGGCAGGTTAAGCCCTAGGGGCCTATGAAATACACTGTCTATGACACTTTGAGAATGGTAGCCATTAACAGGGCATTTCCTAGACAACACCTCCAATGCAACAAGTAGTGGAATTGTAATAACAATCTTTACATTTTGTACTGTATACTTGAACAAAGAAGTACAATTTTCTGTATTCTACAATGGGGGAATTTATCAAAACTGGAGCAGACAAAATCTGGAGCAGTTGCCTATGGCAACCAATCAGCTTCTCTCTTCAGTTTGTTCAGTTAAGCTTGAAAATGAAAAGTGGATGTTGATTGGTTGCCATACACAGCTGCTCCAGATTTTGTCTGCTCCAGTTTTGATAAATTCCCCTCAATGTGTTAAACATGCTTTTAGAATACTGGCACTTTAAGCAGAATCATGGCTATTAACATATTAAAGGGAAGGAACAGGCACCAAATATAACTGATACAAAGCAAGACAGAACAAGCGGACTTGGGAAAAAGAGTTCTGGAAGGATATAGAGCAGCCATGCTTAATAATATCACTAGATGGCAATAGAGGACATAGTATAGAATAACAGAACATAAAAGACACATGAATAGCTATTCACCAAAGCTGTTGAGCAAAGGGTTGCTAGAAAATACTTTAACAGTATACATTTGCATAATTACTCAACAGGTGTGATTTATATAAATATTTAGCCATGATATATACGTATATATCTGGGTACGCTGGTAAAATTAAAACCATGAACATGATTCCAAACGAGTTTTTTGCTAGATGGGTAAATACTAGAGGTGCACCGAAATGAAAATTTCAAAACAAAAACGAAACCGAAATTTAAAAAATGTCAGGCTGAAACCGAAAATGTTTTTTATTTAAACTTTTTTTTTTTAAATTATATTTTATTTTTTATAAACGTTTACATTTTTTTAGATTCATTTATTCATTTTTATTAAATATTTTTGTACTTTACTTTTAGGTGCTTCAGGGGAAATATTAGGGATCTAAACAGACCCCTGATATTTCCCTTTTAAAATAGAAAAAGAGATTGAGAACACAGAGTCCTCTATCTCTTTTTCTTCATCCCCTGTTATCAATGAACATGAATCATCTATGAGTGTTCCTGTTCATTGATAACATGAGAACATTGTTTGTTTACTATAACCACAATCATAAATGAACAGGAGGTGATGTAGGTCACTTCTCATTCATTCATAATTGAGGATATAGTGACCATACCATGCCCTCAATTATCTACATACACTCAGCGATCACTGACTGCTTGTACCCGCTCTCCTTCCTGACAGCTGTCACAGGAAGCTGAGCGAGCGGTGCCGGAGGAGAGCTCAGCCTCCTGTGACAGCAATGATAGCTGTCTCCACCAACACTGCCACTCTCTATTTTGGATTGGCTGTCACAGGAGGCTTAGCGAGCAGTGCGGGAGGAGAGCTCAGCCTCCTGTGACAGCGCTGGCTGTCTCCGCCCACACCGCTCTGCCGATCTGTGACAGGAGGCTGAGCAGTGTGGGAGGTGAGACGACGGCCACTCACAGCGCTCTCATCTCGCAGCGCTCAGCCACCTGTGACAGTTTCTCTCCTCCGTGCTGGGACACAGAGCAGCAACCAGCGGGGAGGAGAGAAATCACGGATGCACCGCTGTATCGGCCGGAAAATGGCACTTTCGGCATTATGCCAAAAGTGCCATTTTCAGTCGATATGTTTCGGTGGCCGATATATCAGTGCATCCCTAGTAAATACAACTGTATTGTGACACAACTAACAGCACAACTTTCTTAGAGTAAACCCAGGGCACCAAGTATTCCGTTATCTTTCACCTTGGATTGGGTATTTTTTTTTTTAAAGAGCAGCCTAGTATGGCGACCTCTCTCAAAGTGGTTATCAGCATGGTAATGCGCCACATGCTGATGGCACTCCAATAATAGAAATAATAACCAGCATACTTGGTGCAGCATCTGGAGTGATGATATTCTTTTAAAAAAACTAGAAGCAGCCATATGGAACTTGGAGTTGCAGCCAATTTTCGTTCAATAGATTTTTATTGTTTTCAGGTTTTGGTTAATAACAAACAAAATAAGGCATTACAAGTGTATGGAAATGTAGAGCTAGTACAAAAACATATACACAACTTACACGTATTCAGTACGTACCATCAATGTCCCCAGAAAGGGGGAGAGAGATAGCGAACAGAAGGAAGAAAAGGAACAGAACTACAGACTAATAAGAAGGGAGGAAAGGTAGTCAAAGAGCCATGAGCAAGGACAGTGGTATACCGCCCAGCGGGGGGATTCGCTTATACACTTATAAACATTAGTTAGTGATGTAACAACATAGCTACTCAAATATGCCAATACATACATTTTTCATACGCATGATGAAGATTAATGATGGGTAGCGTCTCCGAAAAATTCGGAGAGTGCAAGCTCTTCCAGTGACGTACAATGGTTAATCTAGCTGCCAATAATATATGGGAAATTATAGTCTGATAAGTAAGGGGGAACTCTGCCAGTCCTATTGACAACAAGCCCAACGCAGGGTTGGGGGTTGTCAATATACCCGTTACCAGTGAAATCTGCTGAAAGAGTTCCAGCCAAAATTAATCAGGTTACTTGTTTACTATTAATGATATATGCAGTATAGCTATTTTCATATACTCTTGTACCAATAAAACGTTGTATAGCAGAGCATGCCTCACTTAAAGTGTAACTATGGAAAAAAAAAAATACATACAGTAGATGATGTCATTCATCATAGGCAATAACACAG